ACTCTACTTACGGAAATACACAAATGCAGACATAAAGGATACACAACATATTTGGAAGTTGATGAGGATAGAGGAGAAAAATGAAGAGGAAAGGAAGAGCAAGGAATTAGTACTTTAGTAACAGAGGAGATAAGGAGGAAGGGTTCTTGCATTACAAGGTATAAGGTTTGAGGTGATGCAAGTAAATCACATGATGATTGAATTGAGAGGCGTTAATGAAGAGTATGAGCGTTGAAAGAGTTAGTGGGATACAGCATTGAATTGAACCTAGTTGAACAGAAAAGCATTCTATGCATATGTGTACAGATCACAAACACACTTGGGACATACTGAGGTTGGCTCTTTGCAGGCTCCGGACAATACGTCCTGAGAAGAGGTAGCAGAGAGCCTACCCGGTCAGTAGACCCACGGCCTACCGCCCCCCCAAACACAACATGTAGCATAACGAATGTCTTAAGTTATATAGTGTAAGGTCTAATGACTATTGTAGAGTCCTTGTACATGAATATTGAGTGATTGAGCTAAACATGAATGAATACATAAATAAGAAATGAATTACAAGACAGAGAAATATGAAATATAAATCATAAGAAACCAAAAGCAAAAAAGCAACAAACCATTAGTGAAGATTATTTTAATGGAATGTAACAGGTGCCCAAAGGCACATGTTTAGAGCATCCACAGCCATGCCGTAAATTTGTATTGTACAGAGCGCCACACGGATTGTTTAGGCAAGTGTTTGAGGCATAAATTTCAAACAATGCACAGCCGTGGTGTTGTACAGTACGGCTTGTAGCATATTTTGTGAAGTGAGTTGTGGGTTATTTGATCATTGAGGGAGATATTCTGCAGGGAGTGCGGTTGTGGAAGTGGGAGTTATGGGAGAAACAAGGTACAGATGAATTTAGGGAGCAAGCCAAAATAGAACATATTTGGCCTATTTTGGCTCACACGGAGGGAATTCCCTTAGCTACGTGAAAATTCAGGGCATCGGCTGTGGATGATTTTGCCCTAAATTTACGTACAACATGGTTTACGCCACACGGCTGTGGATGCTCTTAGTTCCATAAAAATTGAGGATGAACAAAGTAGAATAGGCCTCGGTACCTGTAAGGAAGTACCGAAACAGACACAGCTGTCGTACCACTAGAAGTGGAGTACACAAGGTGTGAATTTGGAATTTTTTCCCTAGCATAAAAATTTCACTTCTTCATCCCATCTTCACAAGACATCATCACGATAGATTTCAAGAGGTATAAAACATCCTTTTAACCTCTTTCAAATTTTTCTTTACCTGCCCTCCCACCCCTACGCCCGACCATGCAGAGAGCCTACCCGGTCAGTAGACCCACGGCCTACCACCCCCCAAACACACCATGTAGCATAAAGAATGTCTTAATTTATATAGTGTAAGGTCTAATGACTATTGTAGAGTCCTTGTACATGAATATTGAGTGATTGAGCTAAACATGAATGAATACATAAATAAGAAATGAATTACGAGACGCAGAGATAAGAAATATATATCATAAGAAACCAAAATCAAAAAAGCAACAAACCATTAGTGAAGATAATTTTAATGGAAATATCCGTCTTGCGGTAGACCTTCCCTACTTTTGGTATCTTGTGGGTCTGATTTATGGTGTAGGGAAAGATGATGAATTTGGCGTTCAATGTCCCCTGGACTGAACATCAAAAAGTCCGAGCAATACGACACGGTCTAGGAAAGAGGGAACTGGTAAATTATTGATAATTGCACTGACACAATTTCTACGGATGGACTGGATGGACTGGAGGACCCATTCGGCTGCAAGTGCGCAGGGAGCTTTGCAGTCATGGCTCCACGCGAGGCGCACCAGGACGGCCGCATGACACTTAAAGTCCAAGGAGCCTTTGTTCTCGAGCACCTTAAGGCCTTAAACCGTACGATCAAAGGGATTTGATTTTAAACCTCCAAATTTGGATTCACGTCTTCAAATTAAAAGCTGTTCAAGAGGTACGAAGATGCCATTGTCACTGAACGCGCGGCGCGTAGTAATCCAATCTTTCATAACTTCATCTCGTCCAGTGATTTCTCATTCAGTGATCCGTTCGAAGTCCTCTCGAGCTCCCCACCGATCTTCATCTCCTAGACATGGAACCACAAGATGATCGAGGGTTCGGTTTGGATGATATGCCCAACTCAACTGCGAATATCTTGCACTCGATCATACGTTCTAACCAAGCGGGCGGCGCGGATCCGTCCCGCTCTCTCCCACCAATCCAAGCCACTGGTATGATTCGAGCCCTTTTCACGGTCTGCTTCGACAAATTTGTTGACGCCAATACGTGGAAGGGCCAAGACAATGTCGCTGGCCCCCAGGAGAACGGACTGCTGAAGGCGGCCAACTCAGTCATTGACCATATCTTCAAAGGGGAACTTCCCAAGAGTCCCTCATACTTAGTCTGTCGGTTCCCGGAGCAAAAGACTTTGGGTGGCTTGCTCCAACGAGCTGGGGGATCTCTCCCACCTCATACCCAATCCACTGTGAAAGGCAAAAACAAACAAGTTGATGACGATGACTTAGAAGAGGAGATGTCTGTTTGGCTCACAGCACGTCTGTTGTATTGTGCAGCCTCCATTCGCACGTTCTCGTCCCATCAGTCAGCATCTGAACGGCTGGCGATGCGTATAAGTTTTATACACGATTTAGAATCTGGATTACAATCCATCAATGAATGCTTGTTTGCTAGCAATGATAAAGCGGTTAGAGTTAACAAGATCGAGCGAGCCAAGGATATTGCGAGGATATATGTGACTATCGAAGAAGACGTGAGATCATACATCGAGCAGGACATCTACGACAGCGAAGATCGAGATTCTCAACTTGGTCTAACATCCATATGCTTATTAGGCGCTGAGCGAAGGACACAGCTTGTGTCGAATCCAGATACAATGCAGGTCAGAAGATTGGCCAAATTTTTCGCACACATGTTCCTTTGGCTGACCCTCTGTAATGATATCTAGCTGGATAGGAGACCTTTTGTGCTCCCATTACAATCACAGACCCACGCTTTGAACCTTTTACTCGCGACTTTGAAAACTCACCTTACTAGTCTTCATTATTCGCCTCATTTTGCCACCACTATCGCACCTGCCATTGATGGCCTGGCCTCTCTTTGGCGCTATGTCATGAGATTGTATCCAAACAGTCATGATGAATGCATGGCGATAGATCTTTTTGGTCTGATGGCCCTACTCTTTTCTAATTCGATGAGGCCGTTGAACTCGAAGGGCGGAAAGGACGAAGAGTTCCGCATGACGAGTCTGGCAAAATATTTGGAAGGCCTTAGTTACAATTCCCTCGACAAGCTATGCAGTATTGTACTTGAAGAAATCGGAATGTTATGCACCGAAGCTCAGCACTCATCCGAGTCTTTGACTCTCGCCTCGACCCAAAAGCTATACGATCTCATCTTGAACGTCTTAGAATGGCTTCAATTCGCTCACGCCGTCTGCCGCAGGCCTAAATCGGATCGGACAATTGGTCAGCTTGTTGTGAAACATGGGGAGGCCCTTATTCGACTAGCTACTGATAGTTCTTCAGCAAAGACTGACAACGCCAACATGCATCAAGTCAGTATCTCGACTCTCCAGCAACTCATCGCCTTTCAATCAGCTCGCGATGAAGACTCTTCAATAAGTCAGATTCAACCCAGCTATACGCTCTTGAGCTCGACGCTCATGAAGCGCTGCGAGGCCCTCCCTAATTTCAAAGCTACGCGATCATCTTCTCGAGGGATGGACAAGACTGCATTTACAAAGAAAAGGAAAAGATCCAATGACGAAGGGAATAAAGCGAAAACGAACGATGAATCCACGAGGATGGAGATTGACAACATTCGAGACAACTCATCCCGTCATTTCGACTCCGTATGCGAAACGCCACATGTACAACTGTGTCGAAGTATCGTTGAGTCTTTCCAAGAGGACGACTCCCCACCCTTGGATATGGATTGCGAGACAATAGGGTCTTTCTTGATAGACCACATTGATCGACTGGTGAAAGAAGATTCCATGCCGGCAAGCAATGCGTCGATCTCGTACGTTATGGAGGAAGAATTAGACTTATTGAGCACATTGGTATGTGCCTCAACGGCGCCATCTGAATCATCCTACAATCGTCCAGAGGACATAGGCCTTTTTCACCATAACACGGTGGAATTCGTGTGTTCACTTTGTGACCTGCCACATATTACTTTAACGGATCTTCAGACCCCCAGAAAGACGAATTTTCAACCCAATGTCATCACGAGCGTAATCGAAAAGTGTCTGAGTTCCCAGATTTTCATCAACATTGACACCACGAATGTTAACGCAGGCTCCAAAGAATACCGACAGGTTCAATCACAGAAGAGATCCGCGATCATCAGACTCGTCACGAGATTATTACTTCACACCGATTTGTCCACTCCTCGCGATAAGGAAGACTGCCTGGGATTATTGAATCATGATGTCGGGATGGGATTAGGAGTCTTGGACTCTCTGCAAATGGGACTTCGTATTGAGCGAAATGCAGCAGGGTATGTCGCATAGTCTCATACCTCTGATGTTTGTACTGATAGAGATCTCCCCACTATCTACGTTCAGTCGTCTCCTTGCGATCACCCTGTCCAAATCACAGACGGGTGTCGATTCAAATGGAGACCGTTGTCAGACACTCGATGCCAACGCAATCCTTTCCAAACTCAATCAAATGGTCACTACAAACGAAGCCAGGATTCAAGAAGATCTGATCGTCACCCTGGTACTGGCTTTTGATCTTCTTCGAGATTCAGAAAGTGAACAGCTGGAGTACGGCAAAATTCAACTGCGAGAATCTTTGAGTGGTCAACTTTGTATTATGATCGTTCGACAGATGTGCAAACCAAGTGCTTACTTGCGAGGTGTAGTTCGAAATGAGGTGCGTTTTCAAAAGATTTTACACCTTTGAATGCAAGCCAAAGATTTTTGACATGGACTGGCCCCTGTCTCGATAATGCAGATAGTGTCATTAGCTCAGAGAAGCTCTGTGACAGTTTACAAACTTTTGAGTAGATACTTGTCGCCGATCAGCGAAACAATTGTACTCGATCTTAGGATGAATACCAACGGATTGAACCTAGTGGCCGAACTATTGGGTACAACCAATGATGTCTTTTTATCCCAGACGGCACAGTACACCGTACCTCGATTGGTGTCATTATCGAACATACCCATCCTCGAACGCCTAGCTAGTGTGATTCAAGATACCCTTTCAAACATCATATCTGATCATATGGTAAAGATACTCGCCGAACTTTGCCTACTTCCGGATCTCCAGATGACTAAACAAAAAATCGAAAATTTAATCTTGTTACTCAACAAAGGAGACAAATCTGCTCAGAACAATCAATCCCCGAAATTCTCTCTTCTCACATTGGCAGCATACTGTAGTGGTCCGCTTTATTTCGAATTGATTGTTGAAATGAGAGATTCTACTGAAAGATGCCTGAACAAAAATCCAAGATGGGCTTTGTCGAACGCGTTCCGCTTGGCACACCCACAAATCGGCTTCAATACCATTGTTAAAGATCAGGAGGTTGAGGATGAGTTGAGACATCAGATGCTATTCATCTTGACAGTAATGAACGATACACTTCAAGATTTACGAGGCAAATATTCGATTGGAAATAAAATCAAGGTCATGGAAGGCTTGGGGAACTTGATCAAGATTGTGAAATCTGGCGTGAACGGCTTTATACCGCAAATCGCCACAACCTTACAGGCTGCTCTATCAATCCCGGCTGTCAGGGGTCCAACTCTCAGAGTCTGGGATTTGTTTATCAAGGCTTCCTCAGCGAACGATATAAAGGCCTTTGTTGGTCAAATTTCTGCCGCTCTCGTAAGCGTTTGGACCGAATTGACTCCTGAACAATTGACCATCACCACCAAGATATTTCATCAAATCCTCAAGAAATCAAAAGAGCTCGGTACCAACGTCTACGATATCGCCGACATCACCGGTCTTGAGATGCCGATTTTACGATCAAACACGCATCCGCTCATCACATCCGATGTTCATGAACTTTTAAAGGAGGCACAACAGATGCTCGTCTCAATCAAGAGACCAATGTCATATCTACATAAACTACGTAGGCTGGTCGATCGGCTTAATGATGAAAGTGGAATCGTCGTCAGGCAATCGCTAAAAGAACTCAAGCATTCACTATATCTCGAACCAGATCAGATCAGGTTAGTCACCTCGGGTGATAGTTTCGATCCTGTGATCGGAAGCTTGTTGAAGGCTCTGACTGGGGTAGCGATGAGATTCAATGATATCTCTGATGACTTCAAGTGTCTCACATTTCAATGTCTTGGAATCATTGGGGCATTAGACCCTGATCGGTTCGAAATATCTGATGACACACCTGGATGTATTTCACCATGTAACTTTACGGATCACGAAGAGGCCATCGAGTTTGCTATTCACCTGATCCAAGATGAATTAGTTGGAGCATATAGGGCAGCTAGCGATACGAGACATCAGCATTGTCTTGCTTATGCCATCCAAGAGCTTTTACGGTTTTGTGGTTTTACTCCGGACATACTGGTTCAATCTCATAAGAAGAATGTCTTGCCAGAGGTACGTAAGAGATGGAAGGCGATGCCTAAGGACATCATTGATGTTCTCTCACCTCTTTTGAGCTCGAAATACACAATCGTTATCCATGCCCCACACCCTTTACCGGTCCCAATCTACTTACAAACGACAGTCTACAATTCTTGGTTACAAAACTGGTATACCAGGCTCGTACCTGTGATCAAGAACGTCAACGCGGCAAAAATCTTCAATACTCTCTTGGGTGCTTTACGCAATGGCTCTATCATCCTTGCTCAAAATGTCTTACCACATCTTATCGTACATGTTTTGGTTGCCGAAGATATTGAAGAAGTCAAAAACGTCAAACTCGAGATTGTCACCATCCTTGAAGACCAAACGTTGTGCAAAAGCGACTATTCCCCTGAGGGAAGACAGTTGGTAGCTGAGGTAAGGATCTATTTCCTCTAGTCCTTATAATGGTTATACTTATTGTTCTTCATGTAGACCGTTTTTGGTCTCATGGATCACTGCAGTCGATGGCTGAGAGATCGCCATAAATCGAGAGCATCGAAAAGACGGGAATCCGTAAACACTGTGGACTCGGCAGCAATTCGAATGCAATCTTTCATATCAGACATCAGTCCTGAGTTATTGGCAACGGCAGCTCTTTCTTGCAAGGATCATGCCCGAGCGCTTTTGAATCTCGAACAACGGATATGGGTACTAGAGGAATCAAGGGATAAAGCCAAAGCTGATATTGTTACAGTTGATGCTCTTGATTCGTCAGTTGAAGATGAGTTACGAAAGTATTATGAGCGTGTTCATCAAATTTATTCAGAAATTGATGAACCAGATGGAATGGAAGGTATTTCCACCAAGATCCCTGCACCTTCTATCCTACATCAAATCAGAGAACATGAATCGACTGGCCGGTGGACTTCAGCACAAAGTTGTTGGGAAGTTGAGTTACAGAAACAACCAGATGAATTAAGCTCTCATATTGGCTTGCTTCGTTGTTTAAAAAATCTAGGACATTATGGTATGAGATCTTATCAAATCGCTTCAGCTTCTTTTACTTGTATCACTCATTCATATCTCATTTCCATTTGTCTATAGATTCCTTACGTACCCATATCCTCGGTGTACTCAAGAACCATCCCCAATGGGAGAGCGAGCTGGCATCATTCTCGGTAGAGTCAAGTTTGGTATCTAACGATTGGAAAGGTTTGACGCGTGCTATTCAGATGGGATCCCCCGATAGTCCTGAGATCATTTTGGGAAGGGTGATTGAAACGATGCTAACGTGTGATCAAATGACGATTGATAAGAACATGAGTGAGGCCTACATCAAACTTGGTAATCAAATCCTAGGTTCGACTCGAAAAGACGTTTACAGACGAGTTTATGACTCTGTTCTGTATCTTCATATCCTTCATGAGGTTCCATTGATTGATGATGTTTGTAAAAGGATATATTCGATCAATGATGTTTTACCGACTCAAGATCGACTATTCTCAGGTGGTTATCTGATGAAAACACTTCAATCGAGGATCGATGCTATCTCACCTGCATTCCGTCATCGAGAACAAGTGCTTCGTCTCAGGAGGGCAGCCTTTCAACTTAGGTTCAGTTCAATCTCTTACAAATCTATCATTTACAACTTATTGAGCATGTAGGTTTCGTTTTTTTTAGATGTCGAGGAACTCCTGCAGTAGGCCAGTTATGGGTCCAAACCGCGAACATCGCACGTAAGGCTGGACACTTACAAACATCATATAGTGCTGTTCTACAAGCTTCAGAGCTTAAGACGCCTACAGCCTTTATCCAACGATCGAAATTGTTGAAATTGGAAGACCAACCACATAAAGCGATAGCCGAACTCGAAAGGAATCTCGATCATTGTACTCCGAAGGATAGTGCTGGTATGTCGGATGATATATCGACCCGAGATTATGCAAAGGTGATTGGTTTTTGAAACCTTTTCAGACGTAATGGTTGACTAATTCTATTTTGAAATATCTGATAGGCTTGTCTACAACGTGCTCGATGGATGGATGAAGTTGATAGATATAATGTGAATTTCATAGTTAGCAAGTTTGATAAATTAACATCCGAACATCCAGAGTTAGTATTTTAAAATTTATAAAAAAAAGTTTATCTTTTAAATAAGAACTGATTGAATTTTGTTTCTCTTCTTCTTGATAGATGGTCAAGTCCTTATTATTACTTTGGTCGATTTTATGATGAGAAAGCAACCGAATTAGTCAACAGATGTAATCGAAATTCTGAAACCATGTTAGAGACTTTCCTTGTTTTTGTTGAAAGAAAGATCGATAGAACCAAAGATTGAACTTTAATGATTGGATTTTGTTTTGATTTGATTTGATTAGGGACTCTCTCGCACCTGAATATATGTATCATTGTTGTAGGAATTTCGTTAGAACATTGACGTATGGTACTAAGTTTATTTATCAAGCTTTACCAAGGATGTTAACTTTATATTTTTCATTGGGTGAACATCAAGAGATTGTTCGAATTTTGAAATTGGCTGAACGTAAGAAGAGAGGGTCAGTCGAATTTGATATATATATATTGAAAAATCTTGACCTTTTTTTTCAATTGGATTTCGTAGTGGTGAGATTCGTCATGAAGATTATACTCAAGCTTTAGAGAGTAATGAACTTGGATTTGCTTTTTTGAAATTGGATCGGGTTATGAATAGTGCAGTTAGAAAGTTACCTGTCTTTGAAGTAAGTCTCAAGTCTATTCTTTAAACCGGATTTCATCATTTAAAGTGTGATTCTCTTTTTTCATTTCAGTGGCTCACTGTTCTACCACAAGTCGTCTCTCGTGTCATGCACAAGAGTACACATGTACAAGCGCTTGTGCACAAGATTCTAACTCACGTACTTAGATCGTACCCTGATCAAGCATTGTGGGCTATGGTATCAGGAGTCGAATCTTCAAATGCTGCGCGATCTAGTCGATGTACTTGGGTCTTGAACGATGCAAAGGTATTTCTCACATTCATCCTTAACGCATTTTATTGATGATTCACATATATATGTCTTGATTATAGGATATACAAACGCCTATCAAGAACTCACAAGTCGATCCTCAAACACTTACACGAAAGTTTGATCAATGTCGTAAACTAGTACGACAACTTCTTTTCCTATGTAACTATCAACTACGAGATCATCGAAAGCTCAGTTTGAATGAACATTTCCCGGCCTTACAACAATGTGCACCATGTGAATTGATCGTTCCATTACAATCTTCATTGATCGCGAGTCTTCCTCCACACGATTTGAACTTTGCTTCACATGCTCCTTTTCCTCATAACCTTGCTTGTATTGCTGGTAGGTGTTCTCTCGAGTTCTCTTCAATAGGAAAAAATAGTTGACCAATCGATTTGGGTTTGATGATTTGTAGGGTTTTCGGATGAGATCATTATTATGACTTCGTTACAAAAACCAAGGAAGATATCGATACGTGGATCTGATGGAAAAGATTATCCGTTTCTTTGTAAACCTAAAGATGATTTAAGAAAAGATGCTAGATTGATGGAATTTAATTCGATGATTAATAAGCTTTTGAAAAAAGATTCTGAATCGAGGAAACGTAATTTGCGTAAGTAATAGTGTTGTTGTTTTGGATGAGTTTTTCTTTCATGATTTAGACCAGTTGAACTTTTTCTTTTTTTCCTTTTTTTTGGATATATTATTCAAATTAATAGATATTAGAACGTATGCTGTAGTCGTCTTGAATGAAGAATGTGGTTTATTAGAATGGGTTCCACATACTCTTCCACTTCGAAATATACTACACGCTTTATATTCTACTAAAGGAATTCCAATCTGGGTAAGTTTTTCAAAACCTTATAAATCAATCAATCATTATTTAAAATCAAGAATCAAGTCTAATAGAAATCATTTATTGATGTTGATGTTGAAATCTCTTACAGAGTCCAGAGATTAAAGCTTTAGGTGATAAGATTCGAAAACAAACTCAACTTGATAAAAAGAAAAAGTTATTTGAAAGTGAATTATTAAACAAGTGAGTGAATGTTTTTTTGCCCCTTTGAAGGAAAGAAGTTGATTCAAACTTTTTTTTGAACAGATATCCACCCATTTTTCATCATTGGTTTATGAGTAATTTTCCAGATCCTGCTTCTTGGTTAAGAAGTAGACTTGCTTATGGTAGAACAGCTGCAGTGATGTCGATCGTAGGATTCGTATTAGGGTAAGTCAAACCCAATATGATCGTTCATAAAGTTCTAATGAATCTGATGTGGATTTCTCTAATAGGTTGGGTGATCGACACGGAGAGAATATCTTATTTGATTCAACTACAGGTGATACAGTTCATGTAGATTTCAATTGTTTGTTTGATAAAGGTAGAACGTTTGAAGTAGCCGAAAAGGTTCCTTTTCGACTCACTCAAAACATGGTAGCTGGTCTTGGTGTCAGTGGAGTGGAAGGATTCTTTAGGAAAGCATGTGAAGTGACGATGATGATCTTAAGGAACAATAAGGATTCATTGATGAGTGTATTGGAAACTTTTGTACATGATCCTTTGGTGGATTGGATGCCATATGGACCCAAGAAAAAGGTTACGAAGATTTTCAAAGTTGATTCACTTTATAGATTTTTCCCCCCTCCTCGAAAAAAAAAACCGAAAAAAACTATCCCCTTTCATAAAAGATTTTGAAAAACTGACGTTATCATTTCGATTTTTGTTTTTGGTTTAGTTGGATGCACCTACTGAAGAATATATTGAAAAAGAAGCCAAGAGAGCCTTGGAACCGATTGATAGGAAATTAACAGGATATCAAATCACTTCTTCACCTTCAGGTAAAACTGAAAGACAAACTAGTACAGAGAATCAAGTAGATAGTTTAATAAATGAAGCTAAAGATAATACGAATTTGGTAAGTGATTTTGAGATCATGTGATTTTTTGAATCTTTTGATGATTGGATTTGGAAAAAGTTAATGGAGTTGGTTTTTTGGTTTTGTTTGTTTCGTGTGTTTAGGCTGGAATGTATATTGGTTGGGCAGCATTTTTGTGATTGGGACAGGGTTATGTATGTACATAGTTGAAAGGATTGATGAAGAATATATGATAGGATGGTATAGTTTGATGAAAGTGATGAAACGTGATGATTGAAGTGTTGTATTAAAAAAGAGAATGCGAATGTGAAGATGATGAGTGAAGACCAATTGTATTTTTGTGTTTCTTAAATGAAGTATTGTTGTGAACAATGGATTGGCCAAGATTGATTGCTTTTTTTGTTATCTGATTTGGGATACTTGTGAATCTGATGAGGTTAAGTACCTATGTATGTGGTTAAGTTGAATTTGTTGTGTAGTTTGAGTTTGAATTTCTTTTTCGATGAGAACACCAACAAGAAGTTAAAGAAAGTTGAGAATGATGATTAGAATACTCAGTAACTCATTCAAATTACCCAATCGATCTCAACTTCGATTCAATTCTTCATTCACTAACATCAAACTATCAATCATCAACTCAAGACCAAGACCAAGTTCAAGCATTTCTAGAAACCTTCAATCAAAACTTTATCAAACAAGATTTCAATCTCATCATTTCAATTTATCCAAACGATTCATCAATCTACAATCAAATTCAAATCATCAAAAAGTACCCGATCTAACTTCCCCAATAGTAGCTCATCATCTATTGATAGTAGCAACCTTAGTATTCTCAATAGTAGTCGTAGGTGGCTTAACACGTTTGACCGAATCAGGTTTATCAATCACCGAATGGAATTTGATTTCAGGAACTTTACCACCTTTATCAGAACAAGAATGGTTCTCAGAATTTGAAAAATACAAAAAAACACCTGAATTTAAACTTTTAAATCAATCAATCGATCTAGATTCATTTAAAACGATTTATCTTTGGGAATGGTCACATCGAATGATTGGTAGATTGATAGGTTTAACATTCTTGTTACCTATCCCATTTTTCATACGTTATAAATTAATTAGAAGTCAACAAATCAAATTAGGTTTATTTGGAATCGGAACTTTGATTGGTGCTCAAGGTGGATTAGGTTGGTATATGGTCAAGAGTGGATTAGATCAAAGCGAACTTAACAAACGAGATGGGATTCCTAGAGTGTCTCAGTACAGATTAGCAGCTCATTTAGCCATGGCTTTTGTTGTTTATGGGTCTTGTTTAAGATTGGCGGGTGGGATCTTACGTGATTGGAGATTGTTTTATCAAAACTTACCGATTGGTGGAATGAACACTTCGGTTTTGGAATCTGTAAAGGTTTTGGAATCTAAAGTTCCTATGAGAGCTCGTGGATTAGTTCATTCGGTCACTGGACTTGTGTTTCTTACTGCTGTCTCTGGTATGATTTAATCTTTTTCATTTCTCAATTCATTCAAGATACTAAAGCTAACTTTTTGATATATTTTCATGAATGAATTGCCAACTTAGGTGCATTTGTGGCAGGATTAGATGCAGGATTAGTTTATAATACCTTTCCATTAATGGGAGATCATCTAATTCCTCCTAAATCCGAATTAATTTCTACCACGATAACTAATCGAAACGAAGGAAGACCCGGATGGATTCGAAACATATTTGAAAACCCAACCACCGTTCAATTCGATCATAGAGTCTTAGCAAGCCTAACCTTTACATCAATCATTGGATTATTTACATACCTTACGAAAAAGAAAACTTCATTACCACCTACAACTTCATTGTGGATCAGATCAATGCTTGGAATGGTTTCGATTCAAGTCGGATTAGGGATTTCGACTTTGGTTTATTTGGTACCTACTTCATTGGCTGCAGCTCATCAAGCTGGTAGTTTGGTTTTACTTAGTTTGTCAATTGCTACTGGAATCTCTTTACGTAAACCTAATCGTAGGATCTTTTTACAGTATCTTGATTTGATGAAATCTAAAAAAACTCATTTAAAACCTATAGAATTTCATAATGTTAAAAGTAATTGAAATATATATGAATTCAAAAAGTTTAAAGCAAAAAAGGATAGATGGTATTTTTTTCCTTTTGATTGAGTATATATATAATTTGGTTTTAGTTTGAATTCCCTACTCTTGTAACTACTTTATCATTTGTATTTCGATTATAAAAGAATATGAAAAAAATCTTTCATGAAACATATCTTATTCTTCAAATCCTTCAGAGATCATAATATCAAAGGTAAAAACAACATCGGTGACCAAGAATCCTTGTTGATCAATAGTTTGTCTTATAGGATCATGTAATCGGATCAAGTGGTATATCTATTGACGTAGTTTGGATTCTCTGTCTATCCCCGACGGTTTAGTACTCCGACTTTGATGTTTTGGGGTAATCAAAGTAACTTGATGATCAACCAAAAAGTTGCGATTCAAATATGTTTAAGAAGCTCATCAATGTACCACTTCACTCATGAAGGAGTAAAATGAAAGTGTCGAATCCAAAGTTCAACAAAATCTGATCTTATCATGATTTTTTTTGGTAATTCTCAACTTCAAAAATACATTCAAGAGATTCAGTTCAGCCATTATAGTTATACATGGTTTTAAAATGGCTATTCAAAGAAAAGAAACATCTTAGTCTTAGTCTGAAGTAAACGATTCAATGTGTTAAGAAAAACCCATAAACAAACTGTCACGAGGTAAAGATGGAAATGATTTTGAGAATGGAAAAGATTGATTGAATGGCGTAGATGGTGTAGGCTGAAAAAGAATTAATAGTTACGTCAGTCTAAGTTGACAAAACAAATAGCCTTTCAAAAAATAGTGATGATACAAAAAAGATTTGAATATGAACTGAAAAGTTTTTGCAAAAAAAAAAAGACGAACTGATTGGAAAAGAAAGAAGAGACTAAAAGCTTGATGAATTTTAAAGCAATGGTAGAAGGCTAAAAAAGAATAGTCTAAAGGAAAAAACTAAAGGATAGTAAATCTATCTACTTTTCAGCCAACTCATAAACCGGGAAAAAAAAACAAATCGATTGAAAGACCTGCAAAAAGATATAAATTCATGGGGTCTTTTGGTCGATCTTTTTTCTACCCAATTGAATTTTTTGAAGCGTTTTTACTTCTTAAAACTTATCTTATCGTTGCACCGAAACTTTCTTTATTTTATACCTTTACATTCGAATCCATTAATCACCCAATTAATTCTAACCGACTTTTCTCAAATCTCAACCATCCAATCAATCACTCTTAACCCTTTTAACTAATTCCAATCTCTTAATCACATTTTTTCATTCTCAAGAATCTTTTTTTTTTTGAAAAAAACAAAGGATGAATTCATTAATTTTTCTTTTTACACTTTTAACTTTATTTTGTATACTTAATCAAAGTTTAAGTAATGATTCAGAAGCTATTCCAGTTGGACATATGAGTATGTTTTTTAAACAGATTGGAAATGAATTACATGTCGTACCTAGACATATGGTAGAGTTGAGTTCTTAAAATCAATTGTTTTCTTTGGCTTTGTGGAATCTTTTGGATTGATTGATTTCGATTGTTGGTTTTTTTGAAAAATTTTGGTAGAGATGATTACGAAGATGAAAAAGAAGAAAAAGAACCCGAGAAGAAACCACTTCATCATACAAAACGTAAGATACTTTCCTCACCTACACCTCCACAAAAAACCTCAACGACTATCACTTCTCTTTTTTAATCACTTCTTTCTTGTTTTTTTTAGGAGAAAATGATGATAAAGATCCCATGGATCAAGGAATGAAAGCAGGCATGAGTAATGGACAAAAAAGTTCAGATCTCTTAGCCAACTTAATCACTTCTACATTTGATGCGATCCCATCTGATCAAATTCAAGATAAAAATCAAGAAGATGATGAAGGTAAAGTCGAAAATAATGTTCCTGGTTACAAACATAATTCGATTACTACTCCGTAAGTATCACCCAACCCCTCAAAAACACAATTCTTAATGATGTATTGTTTGTACTTACTTATTTTTGGGTTTTTTTGTGATGTTTCTTTTTTTAGGATCGGTGAAGCAGTTGTAGACGAATGGGCAAAACTAATTGGAGATTGTGATCATAATTCTTCTATTGATCCAACAGCCACTTCTAGTTGTAAACAAACTAAATCTACACCACCAAGTAATGATCCAACTGAATGATTTTTGTACTTCTCCAAGATTTTCTTTAATTCTATTTCAATAATAATCCTTACTTAATTTTTTTAATATCCATTACTTTTTTGTTTTTGAGTCCTTTATTTATTCAAAGAAATTATAATTTTTGATCTTGAATTTTCTTCGTGATCTGAACCGTATATTATATATTTACCTTTAAGTCGACTTCCAAGACTTGAAGAAACAAATATGAGCTCATTTAGACTTAGCAGAGTGGTGGGATATGGTTATTATGGTCATGACTATAGTATGTCATCGCCATCAATACCTGAGAAGGGAAGACGAATGCCAAGATAAAAAATGTTTTTGTCATCCAATGATTTTGCAGACCCGCGGTACCAAGTTTTGTGATCACAGATCCGATCGAGTCAAGGCCCCGGCCCCACGAGGGACATTTTCCAATCGGCTTTCCGAAATTTGTAAATTGGCAACCACTTCATTCGGATTCCAACTCAAACTCAAAAACTCAAACCAAGTCAGTAAATTCAAAAAAACAAACAAATAATATCAGTGATGATTATTTAGCTAATGGTTGTTTTGTTCAAAAATCAGATCTTAATCATAAAAGAAAGGAAATTCAAAAAAAAATGGAACAATCTTCAATTCATATCGAACAAGAAACCAAATCGATTCTCGAACCAAAACAATTAAACCAAATCCCAGAAAGTCATAATCCAGAAACTAATAATCCAGAGACTAATAATCCAGAACCCCAATCTACTGAACCATCAGAACCACCCACCAAATCAAAAAATCAACTAAAAAAAGAAGCAAAACAAGCCAGAATATTAGCTACAAGAACCGAAAAAAGAGCTCATGAAAGATTAAAGAAAAAATTAAAAAAATCAGAAATGAAATCTAAATTAAAATCAAATGAAAATGAAGATGAAGAAAACCAAATCAAGCCTAAGAAATCGTACCAACTTCAAACTGTTTTTGATGCCAAGATCATTTTTGATTGTGAATTTGATGAATTAATGACCCTAAAGGTTCGATTAGAATTCGAATTATTTTTTCAATTACCTTTATAATGATCTTGATTTTTTTGGTTTTCTTCGACTAGGAAACAGTTTCATTAAACAGTCAATTATCTTACTCTTATTCCGCAAACCGTAAATCTCAAGTCAGATTTGAAACCTTAATCTGTACTTCATTCAGTACGTCATTCTCGAATTTCCTTCCATCATAAACCAAGACCAAAGTGATTGTTATTGATTCTAGATTCTATTTTTTTTCACAATATGATCAGATGGTAAACTTAAAGAAAGAATGCAGTCTAATGGAAATCAACAAATCAGATGGTCCAACTTTTCGTTTTTTTCTCAATCACTTGAAGAACTTATAAATCATCCTGATCAACCGGTTCATTCGAATCAAGAAGAAATCATTCCTACTGAAAATCAAAACCAGACTTCGAATCTTTCATTCCAAAAAGAAAACATTGTGTATCTTACAGCTGATTCTCCTAATCTAATCACCACACTTGATCCTAGTAAACATTATGTCATCGGAGCCATTGTAGATCATAACCGATACAAGGTAAAGTATCGATTTCTTCCTTTTTTTTTACCCCATTGATCATCGTTTCTAATATTGTTTTTTTTTCTTGGTCGTTGTTTTTCCAATCGAATTTGATTTTGAACTTGATTTTTTCTTCTTTAGAATCTTTGTTATGAAAAAGCAGAAAGACTTGGAATTCATCATGCTCAATTACCAATAGGAGAATACATGAAAGAATTAAAATCTAGAAAAGTTTTAACTGTAAATCAAGTAAGCCCAAAAAACTCAAATCAAAGTTTTAAATAAATTTTCGTTCTAATTGATTTAATAATTTTTTTTTTGTGGGGGGATGGGAATTTTTTTTTAGGTACTTGAGATCTTATTAAATTGGATATCTAATCATGATTGGAGAAAATCATTTGAATTAGTTATACCTCAAAGAAAATTTCAACTTTAAAAAAGAATAAATCGAATATATCTCTAAGAAACTGGTAGAAATCATGTAGTTTTTTTTTAAAAAAAAAAAAGATTAGATCCTCTTCTGTGTTTAAATTTTTTTTTATTGAGTACATATGTTTCTTTATATGCATGATCATCAACTTGTTCTAATTATCAATCAAATCTGTGTAAGTGTTTTTTTTTGTTTACCAATTCTTGGAAACATAACTCAAACAAAACCAAGTTTTTTGGTATTTTCAAAAGAAATCAAAACTTCAAATCACTTTGTTTTTTTGTTGTTGTTCTTCTTCTTCTTTTTGTTCTTGTTATGTTGTTGTTGCAAAATACAAACTTGGATTTTTTTTAAAAAAAACAAAAAGCTTTGAGGAGTTAAACTGTATTCTGGTGGAAGAAAACATATAGTCTTGAAAACAATGACGTCTTTTTCTGTGTTGACAATGTTTTTTATTGAGAATTTTTCTTTATATGATCATCAACTTGTTTTAATCCAAAAACCAAATCTGTGTAGTGTTTTTTTTCATCAATTCTTGGAACCAAAATCAAAATGAAACCAACTTTTTTTTGGTATTTTCAAAAGAAACCAAAACCTTCAGATCACTTTTTTTTCTTCTTGTTCTTCTTCTTCTTGTTGTTGTTCATGTTCTGGTTATTGTTGTTGTTGTTGCAAATTACAAACTCAAATTTCAAACAAAACAAAAACCTTCAAGAAGTTAAACTGTATTTTCCAAAATGGTTCTGATCAACTTTAAGCCGAATCTTCTACATCTTGCTAATGAAAAGTTCAAACTTTTTCACTTTTGATGATCAACTATGGAATATAATTTCGAATTTGATACGTTTTCAGACTCAATAATTACAACAATCTTGAGAACAAGCCGATCGAAGGTATGAAAGTATGTCATGGTGTGTCTGATGATTAATATTGAAAAATTGTGTACTTTTCGATCAAGGAGATATGTACATACTGATCTTTCTAAACTTCTTCTCAGTATCATCAAAGACAATCAAGAAGCTTAAAGTGGACCTTTCGTTGCGAAAGAGAGTCACAAGACCTCAAAGTTAAACCCAACGCACAAGCAACGCATGAATACGACTCAAAGTCTTATCAACTGTCTAATAACTCAATCATTCTTTTCTGCACCTTTTCAACTTCAACTCCAATTTCTATTCTCTCTCTAAAATCAAAAAAACCTCACACAAATACATTTTTTCTTCAGTTAAAAACAAATCATTTTTTTAAAAAACATACTTTCTTTTTTCTCGTTTCGATATATAGTTATAGTTATAGATATAGATATATAAAATGAATGAAATAGAAAAAAGAAAAAAAAATCAAACATGTAATGAAAAAGATTTCTCATTCAAACCATCAGAAAACCAAGAACATGTTGAATGATACCAAAAGAATTTAAAAAAAAAACATTAAAAAAGTTATATGAATCTTTTAATTTTTCTTTCTTCATAAATCCAATCAACCAAAACAAAAAAACTTTCAAGAACCACAAAAACCATGATTACAAAACTTTTAGAATGAGAAACAGGGGAAAAGGAAAAATCAAGATGAAGATATATTTAACGAAGTAGATGAAGATGCTACAAGTTGATGAGTAGGATTCAAATTCAAATTATGATTTGTAAAAGGGATGATCATTGAATTATGATGTGGTGTAGAAGATTGAGGTGGTAAAGAAGTTGATAAACCTGTACTAGGGTTCAGATTTCTATTTGTACTTTGAGAGAATTGATTAAAATTTGGATGGTTAGGTTGGTTAGATCTAACACCTAAAAAAAAGAAAAGGAAAAATCAAGATTAGTCAAAGAGTTTTCAAATCAAAAGATCAAGTTGACAAACCTAGAGCGTTCCTACTAAAAGCCAATCTGATTCCACCCGGTACTAATCCATCTAATCGATCACCATACAAGTTTTCCATTGCTTTTTTAGCCGCTTCAACATTCACAAACTCAACAAAACACATAGGTTGTCCAGCTTTAGATCTGAAACTAAACCGTTTAAATCCTTCTGCCTTTCCAAACAACTTTCTCAATCGATCTTCTAATTCCATACCAGAAACAGATGTAGATGGGTTTGGGATACTCATGATGGGCGTATTGGGATGATGAGGATGTCCTACTAACATCATTCCATTCGAATGTGGAAAAGGTGCTGGTAATCTGGTGGCTAATCCCATCACATTATCACCCACTGCTGTTCCGGGAATCACCGTAGGTAAATTACCAACGTAAAGGGTGTTGATGGCTGGGTTTTGATCAGCTGGGTAATGAGTTCGGTTTAACGAATTTTGACAAACATTACCCGTTGAGTTGGGAGGCATTAAGGCGCTGCTGGTTGAGAGACTGTTAGGTGCTGAGTTGGGTGGGAGTGTAGATCCTAAACCTGTAGGACTGGATCCAAGTGAAGGACGTGAACCAGTACTACTACTATCACTGCTTCCACTGCTACCTCCACTACTGCTATTCGGTACAAGGGGAAAGAAGGTAGGAGCAAAGGAGCCAGGTCGATCAGTTGTGATACCTTTGTCGCCTACTTTCTCCGCTGGCATGTTGACAGTAGTGGTAGCTGGCCCAGGATTGATGAACCAGGTGGAGCCGGTATTGATAGGATTGGTACCACAACCAAGGGAACCAGTTCGAGTGAGTCGACCACCGTATCCAGATGAGTTGGTGAAATGATGGGGGTTGGGCGTAGCGGCAAATGCACTGTAATCAATAGGAGCGCGTTGACTAGTTGGAGATCCGAATGACTCGATCAAACTCTTTCCTCTCGTTGGTTCATTCAACAAGTTCAAACTGTTAGTTGCAGTGATCAAGAAGGGATCAAAAGTGGAAGAAGAGCGAGGCCGAGTAGCACTCATGTCAAATTGACATGGTTCTATGGAATTGGATAACGTTCGATGTTCAACTTCGAAAAAGTGATTCATTTGTAACTGATGATCACTGTCGATTGAGGAACGATGGATATTCTTGACACGATGAGGACCAGATTGAGTTCCACTATCTGAATTCACATTGTTGGATTTGTTATTAGGACTAAAAGGATCACCTGACGGACTGAAAGGATTGAAATAACCACCATTGAAAGAAAATGCTGGTGTGGAAACGGTAAGGGGTGCTGAGGCTTCATTGGACAATCCACGCTTGGTGTGCAAGTTTTTCTTGGCCAATTCTGCCTTGAGTATACAACCTTTTTCGGCATCAACTCTCCGACCGCTCAACACATCACGAGCGTGTAAGGCATCCGCTCGCGTCTTGAATTTGGCGAAGCCTATTATTTGTCTACGATTCCCGAAAGGTGAAATGCCAGCACCAGCGAGACCGGAAAAATCAACTAGGCCTTGAAGGCTAGCATTGGGTCCACAACCGATTCCTAATGGGCTATAGAGATCTTCAAGTCCATCATATCCCAAAGGCATCCCGAAAGGATCCATCATATTGGGAGCAGTTGAACTGAACGACTGTCCAACGGTGCCATGCGATGTGGAAGGTAAGGAAATGCTGGATCCATGAGGCCCGGTAGGTGACATGGCGTGATCACGAGCAGCTAGAGCTGTGGCAGGGACTTTCAAGGTTGCAGCTTCGAATCCAGGTGAGAACATGAACATATTTTGAAATTCTCTCTCATCCATATCTTCAGGAAATCCAACAACAAAGATAGTAGAGATTTCTTCAGCAACTTGTTCAATCCTGCCAGACCGGTTGGTAGGGCTGATAGGTCGCATGGTGGCATTGGGAGGAATGAATGCATGAAGACGTTGTTGAAATGAAGATGGATCGTTGGATAGAAAAGAAGTAACGCGTGGGTCACGAGTTTGATCATTATAAACATTGCTACTGAGGGTATTCGGGTTGTAATAAGAACCCAGATTTTTTAAGTTCGATGGAGGGCTAGTCATGTCACTCTTCAATGACATTCGACGTCCCAGCGCAGGTTCAGTGTAGAGTGATTCTTGACCTCCTGGTATGGCGCCAGAAGGAGGTGGACCAAATGATTGAGTAGTTCGATCTTGACCCAGCCATGGGATGGTAGGCATTTCTTGGAGCGATAAGGAACGAGGAATCCCAGTGGGGGGAATTGGATCATTTTTCGAACCTGATTGACCAGGTCGAACATACTGGAATTGGCAGAAAGTAGAATGGGTCAATAAAATTACAAATTCCGAATGATATTTGATAGCCGCAAGTGGGAAGAAAACTTACAAGCCATCCATGTCGATCAGATACAGCATCACGACCAGGGCAATAATCCAGTGGTCCAGTGGAATTTGCAGTCAAAGGCCAAGACGAGCTCGAATGAGGAGCGGAAGATTCCTCTTGACGTAGAGGTCGATCAGATTGAGAGGCTTGTAGGTTGGAGCCGAGAGAGCGGTTGCCATCACGAGAAGACTGCTGATTTGTTGAGAGTGAGGTGGAAGTGCCCGGGCTAGAATAAGACCGAGCACCAGGATGAAGAGTAGAAGAGGAATTATGCTGATCGAGATCAAAAGGCTCAATAGAAGTATTGAGGGATTTAGTCGAGGCAAGAGTAGTAGAACTGAGACGAGGGGAATCAGCTTGTTGGGTAGTAGGCGAAGGGGTGTTGGTCGCAGAAGAATAAAAGATTTGATTGGCGCTCAGATTGCTTGAAGTAGTTTTGATAGGATTGAATGAGAAAGAGGAGAATGCTGAGTTGAGTGGGGAGAAGAGCGAAGATGATTTACTATCATCACGATTGGAATAAGTTGAGGACCGACGAGGACCTAAGAGCGGGTCCGATTGAAAATCACGTAAACTAGTTGAATTCGATTGTGATTGGTTTCGAGTAGTAGTAGAAGTAGGAGATGAGTCAAGGAGTGAGCCAGCTGACTCCTCAACTTCTGGAATCGATTGAGAACCAAGAGTGTTTTCATTCTTCATGGGTGAAGAAGAGGTCGTGAGATTAGAGATATTAGAACGACGAGGAGTAAGATTAGATGAAAAGATGGATTGATTAGGATTATTTGTAGTATGATCAATGGTATTAGGAGCACTACTAGTATTCTTGTCCAAATGATCTGAGCTCAAGAGAATTGACATTTTCAAAGAGAATTATGTGATGATGATGATAATAATGTTGATATGATGTGAATCAAATAGAATGAAGTCAAGGGTAAAAGATCTTTCTGATGAATTCAAACACAGCACTCGTAGAAGACAGTGAGGGTAAAAGAAAAGAAGACGGAAGGGAGCGGGGCTAAATCAGTTGATTCGAATGACTTGAGGTGAGATTGCGAGGGTGTGCTTGTTGGTCAAGTGAGAGAATGAAGCTGAGCGAAGTTCAAGCTTAGCGAGATGGTATGTTGATGATGAAGACTACTTGTTGGGTTTCACGGCTCGTTCTGAAATGAAGATGATGATTTGATTTGATTTGATTTTAATAAAATAAGTTCACTCAGGTTTGTTGTATGCTAGACTGAGGAAAAGAGAAGAAACTGATGAGCATATATAAAAGTTTGTTTATGGGTGAAGTAAGATGACGAAATGCTGACCATTAGGGAAAAAAAAATAATTCAGCAAGAGATGTTTGGAGGATAAGTTTGGTAAAGTTTGATGATTTAATGTTTAGGCAAGTTTAGTTTGATCGATCGGAATCGGATGATATATCACAGATTGGAAGTAGGGTAACCAAGTGGATTGATGGTCAAAAAGTTATCTACTGATTAGTCGATGTTGTAAAAGACTTGGAGGAGATTGTATGCGAGCTTGAACTGAGTTTTCTGGAAAGTAAAAGCAGAACTTGAGAGAAGTTGAAGATGTTGTTGATGATGATGATGATGGTAAGCAGAAAGATTAATATCGGAAAGTTGATAACTTTAAAGTATCTTGATTAGAATTCGTGTAGAATGTAAAGAAATGTAAACTCAAAGAAGGTCAACTGATCACAAAAGTACAGTTGGATTGGGGTGTTGATGATGATGATGATGATGAATAGTTTGTCGATCAGTTTTTTGTACGCAAGAAGAAATCCTAGACCAAAAGAATTAAATATTTGGGATATGTGATGATAGTGATAGGTAAACTTTTAAAAGGTGATGATAGATAATGATGGTAAACCAGATAAAGAAATGCCGATGATGGTAATGATGAATAATAATGATAATGGTGATGATGCAAATGATGATGATGATAAGATTATTAGGTAGTATTATTGATGGAGATGAAGATGATGAAGAAAGATCACCACAACAAATAAGACAATAATATATCCTATCGGAATAAGAGAACAAGATATGATATGATATTATTTATGTATGTAATGAGTTTGGGCAGTGTGGAGATGGTGGGAGTGGAGACTTGAATCAAGGTTTGCTATTTTAATTCTATGAACTTGAACCTTTCTAATCAAGTACAATGTAGAATCAAGTGAAGAAAGTAGTGATAGTGATCGAAGATCAGTTTCAGGTTTCAAAGCTCAGCTGAAATCTAATCTTCTTCAAGATAGTTGAGAATTTATAATAAGAAAATCAATCATAAATCTGTGTGTGTAAAAAAGCAAATCAACAAATTGTATTTTTGTAGATTTCAGTCAGATTGATATGTTGTATATGTGAGCTTGAGAAACTTGTCAAATTAATCACTAACAGACGTGTGCGATCGCCGATGACTGGAGTGAGTGTGAAAGGTCGATGGATGAAGGATGATTGAGGTGTGGTGATGATGACTGAATTTCAACTTCGATTCCAAGAAACACACAGAAAAAGCTTTTCTTTAAATTTTCTTCTCTATTTAGTCCAAGTCGATCGTCATCATCATCATGATGGTTTTTTTTGAAAAACTCAAGTTTTTTGGTTCGTTCTTCTTAGATTTCTTGGGTTGACGAATTGATGATTCCCACGATTTCTTTGAATAGGTTTAGGGGAAGGAATTCTCAGTGAAAGCTTAAAAAGCTTGGGTACGCCACCTTGTAAATCTAACGATAAGGGATTAAAGCTTGGAGTCTAGGTCGAGAGTCTATTAAACAATGAAAAAGTGTTGATCAAGTGTAGTATGTCTGATTTAAAGTGTAAACAAAAGGTTTTGTACGACGATAAACAGACCAACAGGAGATGTGCTCTCGATCAATATGTGCGGTGGGTTTCAGACAGCTGTCAGATAACCAATTTTGCCAGTCAAGATTAAAAATGGCTTTTTGCTGCAAGTGAAATTGGTGGGTGATACATAGTCAAAGTGGGTAGGGTAAATACTTTTAAAGATGATGATAAAGTGGAGATTGAAGAAAAGACGCGCAGTTAGGAAGAGAAAGACAAAGAGAGAGAAGCAAAGAGAGAGACGTTCGAGAAGAAGTTCAAGTCAGTTTTATCAGATTGACCGTGACGTGAACACTTGAAGACCAAAGGCAGAGCTGATGTTATCCAATCATCAAAGACTCACAATATGATTGATGCTAATCAGTCTGAAAGTGAAATGACTTCCTCTGACCTTGGATTATCATACTAAAAGTATATCGTAAGATCGATTCGAGTATCAGTTTGATTGATCACGAGTTGAATCTTGGCGTCTCTGATTGATCATCACATTTCAAATCACTTATCTGATCATCAGCTGCATACGACCTACTCGTACTCGTAGGAAAATGCTTGATTAGCTTACACTCAAACACGCTGCGTAATGCATTCTCTCAAGAGGCTCTGCTGCTCTGAGGAAGAGGAAGAGAGAGATGTCCATCTCACATATACTTCGCAATCCCAATCTCTCACTTCAGCTCCTCGCTCAAATCGGGGCTTATCTTGATACATGATATCTCATATCTCGATCGATCGAGTTCAATTTATCAAAGCCATATTTCTTAATCACTTGACATCTGTACGGCGTTCACGCCGCCGCCACTACTGGTGCTGGTTTCAGCTTTCTCACAAAACATCACATCACATCTCGACTTCCTTTGAATCTCATCATCTGATCTCAAGATTCCATGTGGCTGGGATGCCTTGATCAGCAGGCTCAAAACAACTGCGGTGTTCTCAATCTCAGCCTGATCTAAATATTATATGTACTTTTGAGGAGAAGGCCCCACACTTCACCGGTGCACACTTGTATTGGTTGGTTATTGGTACCAATGACAGACTGCAGCGCAGCGAAGGGGTACGTATCTACTCTGCCACCCCGAGGTGAAACTCCAGAACGGCAATGCTGTGAAGACCGTTCATGAATCACTTGAAGTTGAACGAAGGAGAAATGCACACCGAGTAGCGAGACCAATGGGTCTTCTGGTCATTGATGAAATTGGAAAATATCCTATCCTATCACAAAGATCAATAATTAATCCTCTACTCATGTTATCCGTATACAGAGTACCTTGTCAAAGAGGCAAATAGGTGAAAGAATTAACAAATCATCACTCAAGCATGCCAGTTCTTCAGTCATCTTAGAAAACACAATAGTCTGATGATTTAGTATTGATATAGATGTGACCAATCAGGAATATATAAATCACACTGGTGGCTAATTATTCTTTAGGTCGAGATCCTCTGCAATATATGATTATCACACGCCAAGAGGATATGAGGACCAGATTCAAGGAAATGTTAAAGTGCTTTGAATACAAGTTTTGATATTGGCAGCAAAACTCTCTTTTCATCTACATTTCCTCATGACACTTTGAAGTTTTGGGGAAAGAACAGGAGGGAACCATATTGTCAATGTTACCATACTTGAACCAAAGTGGAGCAAAGTATTGGTGTATTCCCAGCACAGAGATCTTGTCTCTTCCCTATTATCCTATAGAGTGGTGAGAAGGTAAGAAGAATAGACTAAGTCTAGAGAATTCTACACAGAATTTGAAAATGTTAGTGCCGTCTTTTTACCAGCTGGTTCAGTGACCAGAGACTCCTTGGAGGAAGTAGGTTGAGGAGGATTGGATGAATGAAGGAGGAAATTATGAAACTGGATATTTCAAGGATTTTGCTTGGTACAAATATCAATTGTGCAACAAACATACAAACCAACAGTAAGTTGTCTAATAAACAATCTCTTTGAGTGATGCTCATGTCCAATCTAAAAAAGGCCCAGGGTATGTGGCTGCAGCTTATATGAATTAGTCTTTGAGATTTGAAATTTGATGCACACATCAGGTGTCAATCTCATAGGTTTAAGAAGTTTTGTCAAGGAACACTCCCAAAATTCACCAGAGGGGATGATGTTCTGCGTTTTCTCACTTCAAACATTTACCTCCTTAGAACCAGGGATACACTTGATATGTATGCTTTGAAAAATGTGTGTCTCTTTTCAGAACATTTCAGAACAGTCATTTAGGTGCACCCAACCCCACCTGTTTCAAAAATCCAGGACTCTTATTATTAAGCTCAAACAACCTCATAAATCAACAAAAAATGCAAAATCAAATCCTACAGAAGCTGGGACTGGATTCAATCATGTAGTATTCACATATTGATAAATAGAAGAGTGTTGGTTAAAAACATACCAGATATAAAAGTTTGTTCTGACTTCTACTACCTGACAATCAAAAAAAATTGATCTTATCTTTCCTAAATTTGTCTTGGCTGTTATGATTGTGTGCTCCGGACAACTTGTATTTTCTCTGTAAGTGCAGGTTTATCTCTATTGTATCAGGTAATATGAAATTGCTTCATACTATGGTTTGATTTAAAATTGGTCTAAAACTCTTATTCATCTTTATTATTATCTTGGAGGGTTTCTTAACCTTATAATGTGAAACAGACATATGCACCCTTGAACCATTGTTTGCAAGCAATTCTTCTGATTTTCCTGCTCCACTCCACTCTCTAGTGTGCCACCTATCCCCATAACTGGTATAATACACTTGGACAATGTCTTGGTCTGGCATTTCAACATGGTTAGAGGCTGTGGGGTGTGAGAAACACTCATGAACATTTGAAAATGGATCAAGAAGCTTGAACCTGACTCCTGGGTGTGCCTTTTGCACCACACTTATCACAAGACAGGGATCACAGAAGAATAAGCAAAAGAATATTTGAGATGACTTATTTGATGAGTTTGAATATATAGCAGTGCTTGAGAGTCATGTTGCTCACAAAATCAAACTTAAAAAGATACAT